GCATGAAAGCAGAAGTCCTGCAGAAGCTCACATTGGAGACAGCAATGTCTCTCCATACATGTCTCAGCAGTTCAGTGCTCACAAGTAAAACACTGAAGCAGTAACGTCAATGCACCCTCTGCACAGGTGAAAGAGTCAAGGAGAGACTTAGGTGCAAACATCCCATCTGATTTGTGCAAACACCTGGAGGGAGGGAGTGGTGGAGCTTCCCAGACGGTCGCTCGGCCAGGGGACCCACCACCGAGGACTGTGCGGTGCCTTGAGGAAGAGGCTTCCTGCCCCTTTGCATCTCAGTGCACAACCATCAGCTCCCTTGCATACCAGAACCTTCATGGATGGGCTTGATAGGGACTTCAGAGCACTCCAGCAGACAAGTTAAGACCTGGTCCTCTCAATTTAAATTGTATCTTAATCCATATATAATTCCACTAAACTTCATTAAACTCTTGTGGAGTTGTATTAACCATGCATGAAGCTATAAGCAATCAATCCCACGTAGTTATTCACCACAATAAATGTATTTTTTATTGTTGTCATATATAATTGCTCCCAGAGAGAGAGGTGCAGAATGAGCTTCCTTAGAGAAGTGAAAGAGCAATATTTGTGATCTTGTTATTTAGAGACAATACTCAAAATTTGGAAAATGTGATTGCATGCAAGTGAAGCTCTCTGGTAAAACACACCAAAAAAAAGATAAAAATTATTAAATTGAATAAAAATTAGTGTGAAATGTGAAAAACAAAGAATGTTTTTACAAGAAGTAGAGCGACAGGGCCCTAATACTCCCTTCAGCATCTGGGTAGTACCATACTATAAACAACAAGCAGTAACAAGAATTTAGCTGTATGGAAAAACTGGAAAACTCAGAGGCCGATCACGTTCAGCTTCTATACATCTAAAGAGCTGGATCTATACTAGGAAACCTGATCTAAAGACAGCCATAATTGTTCACATAGACAATTCTGAATGTGCAGAATAATCAAGAAAAAACCCAAAGGGTCCATGTGGATAACTTGATCACTGCAGAAAATAAAACGAAAGGACAGAAGGAGGGAGGGAAGAAAGGATGGAAGTAAACTTTCGCATCCTGCCTTATTCTGGATTAGTTTGTACATTTTGGTTCTTAATTCTCCACAGACTTAGAAGTATGTTTAGTTGCAAACTTACGATAAATTCAAGTCAAGTCAGTGAGACTGCTGACCTTACAAATTTATACAATTGCTTACTATTTTGCAGAATAAATGCTCATATTGTCCACATGTCCAATGTATAACAGAGACTGAAATATCAGCCAAGCAAATATCAAAACATTAGATTATGACCCAGGTGTACGGATGGTGTGGAAAATTGGGATTAAAGCTATAGAGTCCATGTTCTTCAGATGAGGAGTTCTTTTTCCTGTTTAGTCCCTACAACAATGGGATCCTGCAAATGCTCAGAGCTCGCAGGAAGAGCTGGTGATATACAAAACTAACAAAACTTTGCTGAGATATTGATGTATTGATGTATGAGGCTGGGCTTCTGCAAAGGTGTACATCCATCTCCGCATGGTAGGACTAGGAAGTGCTACCTATCACCCAGACCTCACAAGCCTTACATCAGAAATTTAGGATAGTGTTATAAAGCCAAGCCATTTATTTCAGCCATTCAAATCCCAGTAAATCGAAGCACACAAATGAGTCTTTGCATAAATGGGACAAGCACTAAGCACCCTGAAAGTCAGCACAGGTGTTTTTTTTTAATTTGCTTCTGGGTGCTGAGTTAGGGAA